TCGGCGAAAAGTGAAAATGTGCCGGGTCGCTGCTGCCCACGCAGGATTTGGCGGGGGCTGACTCAACGCCTCGCTGCCTAACATTGGCCAGGGCGCCCAGCAACAAAGGCACTCACCAACCTCAAACATTCACTTTCTCGTCACTTGCCGCGCTTAATCCCGGTTGCGTTCCCCAGCAACCTGATATCTGACCTCATGGTTCCTCTCTCCCAACCACTTCATCAACCGCCCCTTCCACACATACAAGGGTGAAGCCCAACCCATAGTGCAAGATGGAGGCAATCTTAGCAAAGGTATGACTATGCTTTGACCCCCAACGCGTCATAGCAGACAGGGAGTCATCTTCTCGTATTCCTGAAACATGCTGACATGTGATAGGTCACCCAGCAGGCTATGAGCTATGCTATCCGAAGCGGCATAGCAATCACCAGCCACTATGCGCTTAAGCAATGCGGCCGACTGATGAAGACGGTCGATGGTCGAGAAAAGCAGGAACTCGCGACTCTGCAACTTAGACTCGACTCCAAGATCAAGATTATCTCACCGGCAATCGATATGATTGAACTGATTGCGGCACGCGGCAATACCTCGCTTGAGTCCGCAGTGGGTCTTACCAAATCTCTTCGGTGGGATATCCAGACCTTGGGGAGTCGTGTCGAGAAGGCTGTCGCTGAAGAACAACTTGCGAGAAGAGGTAGCTCTAAAGCGAAGTCACGCGACCAAAATGATGTTGAGCTCAAGATCATCATCGAAGAGATGAAGAGGCTGCTGGAGCGGATTGAAGACGCGGTGCCGCTGATAAATTTGGCAATCACCACATCCGGTACCAGTCTCTCAACTACGCTCCCGGCTACTGTATCGCCATCACGGCTCCTACAGGCGAGCACCTTTCTCACTTCGGGCGACATGCAGTATTGCGCATCGAAGCCCAGGGCTCAGCAAATTGGCCCGACCTTCACACTCTCCATATACATGTTGTTCGCTGGATACGCGCATCGAGCTCATGAAGAAGACGTGCGAGAGACAACATGGAAGGAGGTTATGCATAAGGCGCGTGTTACACTGATGCGAGTTCCACTGGACAATGTCTATGACTATCCGACGCCTTTCGGGCAGGACAGTCGACGCGCTGATGAGGCTAACCACCGTCACATCCCATCCGACAGCGTATTGCAGGAGTTTGCTTACCAGCTGCTCATTGTTGAAGATTTGGACGACGGTCGTATGCATGAATTCGAAGACGGCGAACCCCAGCCAGGACCATATGACGGTGTCGAGCAAGCAGGCGTACGTGAGATCATACCCATACATGAAGTGTCCAAGATCTTCTACGCCGACACGGGCAAGATACTGAACATCGGTTCCGACAACGAAAGCAACAACCCCATCTTGCTGCTCAAGCGAGACGTTAATGCAGCACCGCCACGCCGCATGATGGAGCGCGATACCGAGGAGCCCGGCTATGAGTCGGACGGCTCACATACCGTTGCTGAAGATGAAGAAGATCCTGAGCAAACAGAGTTGGAAGAGCAACTGCGACGCGAGTCGACACCGCACCTTGAAGAGCCCGCTCCGCAAGAGCCCACCCCACGAGAGCCCGAACAGCCTTCATACCCCTGGCGACTGCCTCCCACGCTGGACCTGGAGTGGATGGCCTTTGAAGTCTACACCGAAGACCCCACCACCGACTCCGAGATCGACGAAACAGAGGACCTCACTGAAGACGTTTCTCCACCATCCCCAGCAGCCACACCCACCCCACCCGACTTCCTCGGCCGCTTCTCCAACCTCAATCTCCGACCTAGCACACCTACTTCCCCACAACCGAATTCTAGAAACCAGATGATTCCCTCGCCGCAAAAGGCTTCTGCGCCCACTCCACGATACCAGCAACAAGCGCCAACGTATCTCCCTGCTATCAAAACCTCGCTATCTCTTTTGGAGATGCTGATTCGCTTGACAGCGCTCCAGCAATTCCAGCAATCTTCTCATCTTGCCATTCCAGATGAGTTTCTCAACTTCTTCCTCTCGGATAGCAGTACAGTGGGCGCCGGTGGTGATGCTGAGTTACGACGACGAGTGAGGAGAGAAGCGAGGATGCGAGTAGGGTTTGATCCCTACGATGAGAGTCCGATCAAAAGGAGAGGAGAAGAGTACCTAGAGCATGAACTGCACGAACACGGCCATGACCAGGTACACGACCATGACCGCGACGGGTGGACAGATACGCCGACGGCGAACGACGGCAGAGGTTACGATTACGATAGCTATCCCATCGGTCAGCGCGGTTCCTCACCATACTCGCGTGCGCGGGGTAGTACACCTGGTACACCAACTATCCGCTCAAATTCTTCTACGGAGGTGTCACACACCGCACGGCATAGTCTGGGTAACGTCTCCTCGCCAAGCCCGCTCCTGAGGCGCGCAACGACACAGCCGGGTCAACACCTCAATCAGATGAAACAGCCCAACTTCTCGCGGAGGTCAAGTAATAACACAGCGATACCGCGTACGGGGAGTGTGCCGCCTGATACGCCGCCTAGTAGTGTGGCTAGGCCGGGTTAGAAGCCCTCGGGGCTTATGAGACCACGATTTTGACGAGGGGAGAGTTTCATGGGCGAATGTGTGCAGATTGTTTCATGTTACAGTCCGACAGAGCGAGCGATTTCAAGCATCAGAATGGCGTTCTAGATACCACTTGTCTTTTGTTCGTAGAATGCACCTTCAATTTAGTATGAATCAGCGTAGCATAGCGAGCGAGTACTCCTCACTCAATCATCTTCCATAGTATAGCAAAAAGTAAGATAATCTCAGATAACTTTACTATCCTATCAAGATGCCCATCATCCTATCTCATACCCATCAAACCAACACACAACAAATAACCAAAACACACAGTCCCATCGCGCCGAAAACACCCCATTTCATTCACGTTCATATTCATATTCACATATCCATCCCCCTACCGCTCCACCCATCCCATCCCATCACCATCCTATCACCACATCCCCTACTCCCAATCCTCCTCCTCATCGCTCTCCTCCGTTACAACCTTCTTCTTCCCATCCTTCCCATCCTGCGGACTCCCCGGCGCCCTCGTCGTCGTCCCAGAAACCAGATCATAACTCGCGTCGCTATCTGCGACACTCTTCTCATCGTTTGATCGGCGGGGTTGCGCAGGTGCTGGTTTAGCGTCGTCTGTGGGTTTGAGGGTTTTGACGGAGGCGGCGAGGTCGGTTGGGGGTTTGGTTGTGCTGGTTGTTGTGCTGGTGGAGGCGGGTTTTGTAGTAGAGGCGGAAGAGGCGGCGGTGGTGGATTTAGTTGTAGGTTTGGTAACGGTAGCGTTATCGTCGGAGTCGTCGTCTGAGTCGTCTTCTTCGGAGGAATCGTCTTCGTCGTCATCTTCTTCTTCGTCGTCTTCCTCTTCGTCTTCTTCTTCCGAGTCTTCGTCCCAGGCTACTTCTTCGTCGGCGGCCGGTGTTGATGCTGTTTATACGTTAGCTTCACCATCTTTTCCGGGTGTAGTAGATGCAACTCACCCTTGAGCATCTCCCTCCTCCTCTGCTCCTCACTCTCAATAACATGACGCAAGAAATAGTATCTGCACCAAAACACCTTATACTCCACCTTCTCCGGCACACACTTCTCCATCGCACTCCTCAACTCCTCATGCTTCTCCAAATCCTTCGCAATAGCCTCAGTCTTCTTCTCCACATCAAAGCCCGCCTTCCAGTTCTCCCACTCCGGACTCGCGGGGTCTTTGAGGAAGGAATCGAGCGTCGAGTGGATGACGTGGAGTTGGGCGTCGAAGCGCGTGGCGTGAACGACCTTCTTGCCGCTGCTGTCCTTGGATTCAAACAGCACGTCGCCGTCTTTGGCGGCTTGCGAACCGGCTTCGGGAGGCGCGATGGTGACGGCGTCGCGGAGGAAGTTGCGGATGTTGCTGCCGAATTTGAGGAGCGCTTCGTCGGCGGCGTCTTCGGCTTTTTCGACATCCTTGAGCCGTTTTGCGGCTTCGGAGCGGAAGCGCGATAGTATGCCTTCTGCCTCCTTTACAATGTCGGCGGTCAGGGATTCGGGTCGGTCGGGGTGGGCTTCTGTGTCTTCGGTCGCTTTCTCGGTGGAAGCGTCTTGGGAGGTGGACGCGGATTTGGAGCTCGAGGCGTCGCCGGGTTGGAGGGAGATCTTGCGCGCGTGGCTGATGATGTTGGAGACGCTGGCGGAGGCGTTCTTGACCTGTGGCGCATATTGCTTGCTTGCGTTGTCGTAGTATTGCTCGCCCTACACCGCACATGGTCAGAAAGGGTAGCTTGAATCCCACACGCCGGTCTTACCTGCTTCCTCACATTCCCCAGAAATCCTCCTAGACGCGCCGCCCACGGGCTGCTCGATATAGCTTTATAAGCATCCTGGAACTCGGCGTTGAAGTTGTTGGTCGTCTCCTGGTGGGTGTTATCTCCGCTGGCCGACTGCTTGGTGGGGTCCTGCGGGTAGCTCTCCTCCTGGATGTGATCGTAGGCGGAATCCATAGCTACGACTGTCCAGAAGGGAGGCGAGGTGTAGGGGAGGGAGTGTATAGGGTGGGGGCTAAGGATGTTGTTGTGGTCGTGAGACACAGGCTGGTTGGGTCAATCAAGGGTGCAGGTCAAATGCGGGCGGGGCCATGCATGAAGGTCCGCAATTGCCGCTAGCAGTTGGGCGGACATCACCAGCTCAGGCACGCTCGCGTTACACAAACTGTGGTCGGGACTATTGACGCGACGACAGTGGATTCATTTTGAGTCTGAACTTCCTCTTCCAATATGTTGCTAGATGGCCATCACACCGGCCTAATGGCGTCGCCACTTGCTGCTGATGTGCGCGCTCGCTGCTCGCTGCTCGGTGTCTGTTGTGTGCATCCATAGATTCCCGTCCATGCAGTGGTCATCCACATCATCCATAACACTTCGACTGCCTCAGCTGGCTTGGTATCGCTGCTCCTCTTTCCTCCCCTCTCCGCTTCACCTCTTCTTCTTGCCAACCACCGTCGTGAAGCCGTCCTCGTCGATCTCGGGCTCAGGCTTAGCCGCCTTCGGTTTCGCAGGCACAAGCGCAGGCGCATCATCCATATCCATATCCTCATCCTCATCCGTCTCCTCATCCACACTATCCCCCTCAAAGTCCTGATTCGTCTCCTTGACATTAACACTCCCAGTCGCAACCTCCTTGCCCTTCCTATCTTCCCACTTCTTCTGTAGCGCATCCACCATAGCTGTGCTGCCCTCGCCAATCTCCTTCCGTATCGCCATGATATCGCGCGCAACGGCGACTTCGGTCTCGTCTTCTACGCGCACGCCGAACTCGTCCTCGAGGACTTGTAGTAGGACGACTTCCACATCTTCTTGGTCTGTGAGGGGCTCTGCGGCGAAGAGTTCGGAAATTTGGCCTGCGAGCCAGTCGCGCTTATCGGAGGAGTCGGGGCCGCCCCATTGGTTTTGGACGGCGACGGTGAGGTTGTTCCAGTTGAAGAGCGCGTGCCAGATTCCGAGGTCGAATTTGTCCTGGTGTTGTTCTAGGCAAACGTTAGAAAATGGATGTGTAAATCGGCGCGACTACTTACCGGCGATTGGGCCGAATGCTGAAGTCATTTTGGGTTGTGTTGCTGAGAGAAACGCTGAGCGGCGTGGATTTGCGTGACGAAATATCGATAATTTTGCCCGTTATCGATAGCGGACTTGAGTCGCCCCGCCATTATCTCATCACGCACACGTGAAGCCGCGACATCGCGTTCCGCCACAGTCAATGCAGGTTGTTAGCGTCGCATTTGCTTTTTGCAGGTGAATCTGTATATCCGACGTGATGCGTCTGGTATCGGGTGTGATCTCACGATTTCCTCACCAACCACTCCAATTCCTTCGCCTGTTCATCCGTAACAATCTGCTTGAACTTGTCTACCGTCAAGAAGTCGTGATCTGAGAACTCAAAGCCGGGGATTACCGTCTAGGAAGTCGCGTTAGTCAGACACCCCATGGTTACTGATCATGGGTGAAAGCACATACCTCACTAATCAACAACCTCTCCCCTTCCGCTCCGTCAAGCAGGAAACTCGCCTTATACTTTCCGCCCTCAACAATCCAAACGCTCTTCTCTCCCTTCGTGACGTCGGTCCCAACAACGAACGTTTCGATGCGTTTCTTAGTGCCAGGCTCGTCGGCGTGGATCAGGACGTAACGACCTCGGCCTGAGATGAGGGTGTGCACCTTCATATGGCAGTTAGTATCGGTAATATGTTTCAACCACCGCACGCATGTCAAGCGGTGGATGATAGGGTTATTCCAGCAACAACGATACAGGGCAGGGCCGCAAGACGCGGCCAGGCAAGTTGACACAATAACCTTAATGAAGGTACAGTCCCCAACGCCTTGCATTTGCCGCGCACAGGTGTAGGCAATGATGGTCGGGTCATACGTACAGTTCTCCCCTTATTCCGATGAAAGTGTCCCTGCGGGTTCACTGCACTCAACATGTAGTATATGCTCGTGCTCGCGTTCCTGATTGCATTGTCACCTGACATGGGCTTCTCCGCCGTATTCTTCACTTCATCTTCTTCGTCGCCTCCATTCTTCACTAAGAAAGGGTTCGGAATAGTGAGAGGGTTGCGATCGATTTCCGCATAGTAGCCGCCTTCGACGTGTACTTGGAGATTGAGTGCAGAGATGACGGCTTGGGTGCTGGCGGGCTCGGTGGCGGAGGGATTGGGGGTGTAGATTTGGGTTATCTTCTCTGTGGTGGAAGAATTGGGCGACATTTTGGATGTGGGATGATTAGCTAGCTCGGTGTTGATGGGATGGGATGCGTGAGGCTGTCGGTGTTGGTGATCGATGACGTTATCGCCGCTAGTCGTTGATAAGATGGGCAGGAAGTCGCGCTACAAACCTCAACCAGCATCGACGCGTCCACGTTCTTCACTTCGATCACCCCAACACCGCGCGACGGCATCCAACTTCAGCGCAAGATCTGACACCAATAAAATGGCGCACTCTTCGACGGTGGCGTCCACTGCACCCGAAGTCAACGGCATGTATGCACGCTTCGGTGTACAAGCCCTTCTGATCCAATCATCGAATGCTACATCGGATGAGTACAGCCTTGGTTAATTTGCGACGACAGACTTTCCCTATGCATGCTATCGGATGGTGGGTGGACAGCCAATGATGTCGAGGTAGGCCCCCGCATGCATGCTCCATGCGGCACAGTCGCTGCAAGGCTGTATTGCATCTTGTTTCTCCCTTCCAGTTCGCCTTGCTTCTTACCCACCTTTCATACCTTCCGCAATAATGGGATGTTGCAATTTGTTCAGGTTTTCCCGCCGAAAGGATCGAGAGAAGCCTGGGACACCGGCACTACAAGTCGCTGTGGCCACCAGTGACGACTTCCAGGAGAAGCGGAGCAAGGAGGGGCCGAAAACCTCCTCCACGACAGATCTACAGTCAACGAGCACCAGCACCCCAGAACTGGTAGCGGAGAGCTTACCCGGACGTCTATGGAACCTGGCATACGACCAGCTCAAATCAAAGGACCCGAAATTGATCGAACACTATGAGAGCATCCTATCAAGCCAAATCGATGGACAAGAGCTTAAGGCCGTGAACCTCGATACACAGATCAACAAGATCAGCCTAGGGCAGCCAAGATCACTGCAGATGCGACAGCTCGTTGACTCTGGATTGCTCAGGACGGAGAAGGCAGCTGCGACTAACGAAGCACTCGCGCAAGGCCTGCAGGTGTTCAATGTCGTCAAGGATAGCGTCGCAACAGCTACCAGAGCTTCTCCAGAAGCCTCCATAGCTTGGGTACCGATCTGCCTTGCCCTTGATGTATGGCTGACGACCTTTGATGATGCAAGCACATGGCTGATGCATGTCAGATACTTATGAATCCACTCACCCAACAGTCCTCTAATAGAGATGGAATTGCTTACGTCGTATCGAGGATGGATTGGTACTGGCATCTAGCTGATCTTCTCCTAGAGAGAAATCAAGAAGCCCGACGATCGCAGCCGCTGCAAGATCAACTCGAGAAGAATCTCGTCGACCTTTACACTCGTCTTCTGGCATACCAGATCAAAAGTATCATTACATACCATCGCAAACGTGGCACTGTTTTTGCAAGAGACCTTGTCAATTGGGATGATTGGGAAGGTGAGCTGGCTGCAATAAAGGAGATGGAAGAATCGATACGCCAAGATGCAGCTCAATTCAGCACGCATGAAATCCGTAACCAACTCCAAACTATTGCGGAGAAAGCCGAGTCACAGGACATCAGCCTGCACAACATTGTGGTGAGTCTCCAGGAACAAACGGCGCACTCTCTGGCGTATACGAAGAGTGTCGCGGACAACAAGTGTCTTCAAGACCTGTTCCAGACGAACCCCAGCCACGATAAAGAACGGCTCGAAAATGCAAAAGGGGGATTATTGGATGGTTCTTTTCGGTGGATACTTAACAACGCGAATTATCGGCGTTGGCGCAATGACCGTGAAGGGCGGTTACTCTGGGTCGAAGGGTGAGTTAGCAGCATTCGATGTCGTGGTTTCACCTCATAGAAGGGAAAACCTGAACAGGTCTGGAGCCTACATCGACGCCAGGCCACCTATCTTGTATGCTTCTATGTTGATGAAGGCTGCAGACCTGTTCAGGTTTTCCCTAGGTTGACATGGTTTGATGAGGAATCGTACTAATAACTTCTAGTTCACCCGGTCAAGGCAAAACCATGCTCATGTGCGGCATCATTGACGCACTCGAACAAACCCTGGCGGCGGGTGATCTCATATCTTACTTCTTCTGCCAGACATCCGAACCGCGCAACAACAACGCAACGGCAGTCTTACGGGGTCTCATCCATCATCTGATTGGTCAACAGCCCTCACTTGTACGCTATGTACGACTTGAGTATGATCGCGTGGGCGACAAGTTATTTAACGACGCAAACACATGGACGGCTTTATCCAAGATCATTATCAGTATGCTGGGTGACTCATATATACGGCAAGCGAACATCTACCTCATCATAGACGCTTTGGACGAATGCATCGACTCGGACGATCGTAGAAGACTCTTGGAACTGATTGTACAGATTTCAAGGAAGCTACCACACACCAAGTGCATAATCTCCTCACGCGGCTGGAACGATATTCGTGATGTACTTACTGAGCATCCTCAAATGCTCCATCTTCAACTCGACCCCAAATCCGAAGCTATACTTGATGCGGTCGATACCTACATCGAACACAAAGTCAAAGCGTTGACTGATAAGAAGAGATTGGGTCCATCGGATGCCGAAGCGATCCGCGACTACCTGAAGAAGAATGCAGGAGGGACCTTCTTGTGGGTAGCGTTAGTCTGCAAGAGGTTGGGGTTCTCGAAACGCGTGTTCTACGAAAAGGACATGCAGGCCTTCCCTCCCGGGCTCGAGCAACTGTATGGAAGAATGCTCCAGCAACTTCAGAGCTTAGATGAGCCGGAATCGAAGCTTTACAAATTCGTGCTCGGGGTCGTGCTGACATCACCAAGACCTCTTGAGACGTACGAATTGGCCTATCTGGTGAAAGAGCTAGACGAAGTTGGAGATAAAGTAGAAACGATGCGAGACATCGTTCGAGAATGTGGGTCATTTCTCTCAGAGCAGAATGACGAAGTCCTCTTTGTCCACCAATCCGCCAAAGACTACCTGCTGGACCATGGCAAAAGTGCTGTATGCCCAGACGGAGAGAAAGCGTTGCGTCTTCATACGCTCTACAGATCGATTGAGGTTTCGATATCCTTTACCCGAGGACAAACGATCAAAGGGACACCTAAACCACATTATCATGAACACTGGCAGAGGGTTGTCAGGGAAGTGTACTGGCTAAAATGGACCTACTTACCTCCGGAGGCTTATGGAGATCGGGATTTCCCTCTCGTGATTCTCATGGAGCAATGCTACATGTGGGTTGACATGTTCTGCATCCGAGAGGCATACAAAGAAATGAAGTTTCTTCAGCTCTTCATTGGGCAGCTCAATAATCTATTATCGGTGTGTATTAGCCATCAAGTGATCTAGCTGCCCTTTTTTAACGGAATTCAGGGTTGTAGCGACTTATCCGAGCGTTATGATTTCATCGAGTCGATCTTACAATCCATGAAAGCGAAGGAGCAACTCATGGAGGTATGTGCTAGATATCAATTGACCTTCACAAGCAAAAGGACAGATAATAGAGGCTTACTAAGAAGGCGTTCGTTACCATTGAACCTTAGCGCGATTCCGGATTCGACTTGGAACATAGAAGTCTAAAGAAACATGTTGTTTTATAGAACAATGTATGATGCGAGAGGCCCAGCTCAATGTTCAAACTTCTGCCGCTATTCTTCTTTCTGATGTGAGGCGTATTAGCCCTCCGGCATGCTGATAAACCAAACGTTGTGTAGCTTCAGCACTAGAAACCTAATTAATCAGATCCGACTGGCCACCTTTGTGTGTGTTAGCAAGACATTACGCAGCTGCAGTGGTATTTCCTACTCTCGCATGGTAGAGATCGAAAGTATTAAGGTTCCATAGCTCCGCTGTAGCATGCTTTGACAGTATTCAAGGCTATGGGCTACACGTTCTCTGCTAGAACGTATCGAATATCTCGTACAACATGATCTTCCTTTTGTCCAAGAGACGCGCGAGAATGTTGGTCTACATCGAATTGGATGCACATACCTCATTTAATGTATCACACGCCGTAACTTGTCATAGATTCCCCACATCAGTCGAGCCAATGTTTCACGACAGACGTAGTAGCTGATACGCACATGGCTGTCACACAACAAACTCCACTCAAAAGCTCGGCTGACCCAAGATATGACCAGACTGTACCAATCTTCTCTTCTGCTCCATCGTTCGCACTGTCGGCCACGCCTTCGTTGTCTTTGTAAGCCGCCAGATCAGCGCACTGAGTTGGACAGAGCACTTCAATAATTCCACATCGGCACCCTAGAGAATACCACAAACTGAAGTAGCCATGCGAGTTCAAGAGGAAGCCGTCACTGCGGACCGTCAACTATCTCAACCCTCCCCTGACAACGAGCCCGACACATCGACCCAGTCCAACAAACAACCCGAATTGATCGCCAACGAGGAACAATCTGAAGTCGAGCGTCAGGAACCTCACGAGCTGGACAATAAATCAAGCGGCGAACAAGCACCCAAGCAGAGACGTGCACAACTAAACGAAGAGCGAGAACTGGCTGCGAGACGTCGTCGCATGAACACGTATACCAATTGTCGTAAGAGGAAGATACGTTGCAGTGGTGATCCCGGTGATGGCTCTGGGTGTAAACACTGTCAGATATGTGGTGTTGGGGAGACGGAGTGCAGATTTGGGATTGTGGGATCAAAAGATGTGCTGGAAGTGAAGGGTTAGGATTATACTTTGATGGCTTGGAAGGGAGTTAGGGTAGAGTAAAGTAGCCGCCACAAATAGCTCTTAAGATATTTTACTAACTTCTTAGTAGTACGTAACCTCTTTGCTACGCCTTGGCTGAGGCGGTTCTAAGACATCTTGTTAGGCGTGCTATAAGCTTGATAGATGAGGACTGAAATATGAATCTTGGGGTTCGCGATGAGGGACTAATCTCGTTGCAAATTACTGGTGCTAGAACAGATCAAACTGGCAACTGGGCGTTTCTGATCCTCTCCTACATCTAGCGCATCTTACGTCTCTGCTCTTCTCTCATTGTCTTGACTATAACCACTCTTCTCATGACCTGCTTGCTACGTTTCCTGATTCTCGTCTCCAGCCAAAGAAGCTTCCTCCTCAATCTCTTCTTGACCTTGAGTCTCAGTGTGGTTCGAAGCCGCTGCAGAATCCACTCCATCAGCAGCGGCAGACGACTCCCTTTCATCCTGCAGCAAATCCCGGAAGTAATCAAGCGCGAACTTAACATCGCTAATCGAAAGCGCCTTGTAGCTATTCTTACGTATCGGTCTGTCGGCACAGTGTCCCTTGATAATCTTCCACGCGTCATCTTTCTGTTGCATTCGAGTTATCTTGGCTAGCTCGTAGAGCAGCTTCAAGACCTCACCGTTTCCATTAGTTCCGTAGCTTTTCAACTCGCGACTTCGAATTGGTATTTTGTTATGTCTTTGGAGCATGTTAAACGGGATTAGATCTCTGCAGTCCCGTACTTGCCAGTAGTAGTTGATCCAGAGGTTCCACTTTCTGTACTTATCTTTTTGGCTATCTGTGGGAAGTATATCAGCTGGCAGGGCATCTGAGTCGTCATCTTGCTGATTGATGGTTGCAACGGTCGTGTCTAGTGTGGCAGTTGCTCCAGAGGTCTTGCCGGGCTTGATGGCGTCGTCTGCGTCGTCTGTATCATAAGGCGAATCGACTACCTCGTCGTCATCAGTTGTAAGTTTGGTGGGATCTGGTTCTGCACAAATTAGCTCTTTTACGGCTTCGAACAATGTATCCGATGTGAACATACCGTCATCATCCCCATTTGTGTCAACCATCTTCTGCTTTCCCTCATTGTATCTCTGCTCTTGAACATACGATATGTCGCTTAGCTGTATCTTTGCTGACAAAGTGTTCGAACTGTCCTTCTTCCTCTTCATTTTGCCCTCTACGAGTAGATCGTAGACTTTGTTGCAGTTTTCGATGCCGGGCATTTCGTCGGCGACGTCACCCAGAGCCCGCAAGATCTCAATAGGCCACCACTGAAGGTCTTTCGGGTAGCGCATAGATAGAGGAATGCACGCAGTGCTTTCGGTGGTGGTTTCATACTGAGATGTTATCTTCGTCGCGAGAATTATTCGCTCTTCACGATCGGGATGGTCCTTTGGTAGATACATGGTGATATCGACAGTGAAATGAGGATCTTAAGACTGACAGGAGAGCATTCCTACTACTGATATAGATGGGCAAGATGGCAGTATTCTATTTGCTACTGACATGCGGGATAATGCAGATGACTGTGATTACTTGTGAACGCAGCAAGCATTCGTGATCGCGTGATCGCCGGGTGTTTTACGATGAAAGCATGTTTTCCTAACCAACGGCACGTATTTCCCAATCACTACGACCAATCTGATTCATAGTACTCATCCGATCCATAGTATTCCTCGGGCGATTCCTCCTCTGGAGTGGTGTAGTCTTCGCTATCATCTGCAGCATCTCCTTTCAGCCATTGATCTAGTCTCTTTATCTGCTTCCGCGAGACAACAAAACGTTCCTCATACGCCGCCCGAACTACGGTTCTTGTTCTTGACTTGAACGTCGCGGGATGGGATAACACGAACAACACTGCGTTGTACGCCTTGTCGCCATTGATTTTATCATCCTCAAACTCGCCCAGCAGGATGAGATACAGCAACCTGAAAGCGGCGTCGCGTGCTTTCGACTTAACACCCTTAGTATCTTCATCCTCTGGGTCCCAATCTATCCTGCAGAGCCTCATATCGCTGAAGATCTGGTCGATACGTCGTTTGTCGAGGACATTAATGCCGAGAAACTCGTATGTTTCGCATAGAACGTGGTACTGTTGAAGTTCGGGGGGAAGATTCCTGAAGCATTGACGATAACCCGATTGGATTCCCTTCAAAGCTACGTCGAAAAGTGGTATTGGGCCGTGGACCAACTCGGTCGCGTCGGGCTGGGCTTTGGCTTGGAAATCGGCAAAGGACGACAGATAAGGTATCTGCGAGAGGTCGACATCGTATTTGACATCTCCGATCGTGATGAGAGTATCTTTGGGGGAAGCATCCACTTCTGAAGGTGCATGCTGCCGAGTTACAGCATAGCATCAGTCTCGTCCGCTTCTTTGACGTCCAAAATTGCTTACCTGAGTTGGTGCATGCGTGTTTGGGGCGGGATTCTCGCTCGTCATTCTGAAGCTGGGGCGATTGGGCTTTTAGTAACACGCTAACCTAGGAAAAAACTAAACAGCCTAGAGCCTACGTTAATTTTAGGTTACCTACTTTGCAAGTTTTTGTCCTAATGTAGTCTGCAGACCTGTCTACCTAGTCTTTTCTTCTTATGTGGTGGTAAGAGCGAAACAGCGAACAATGCGGGGTAACTCGCTTCCAACCCCCAAACTTGCGCGTCGTTCGAGAAAACAGCTCATAGAGGCTTTGTTTTAGTCATGTTCGTACTTTTACTGCTGTGCGACATTGGATCTGCAGTGTGCCACACGTCTATTGGCACATGTCGGGATCGATCAAGCCCCACGCGCCATTGAGGCACAGTAATAAACAACTTAGAATGCTACAATTACACGTGACAGTCGCAGGCACCGCTATTTATGTCATGTAATAGTCTGAGGCCTAATCTGCAATGTCTTATCTACATTGCTTTAACCTCTTGTCTGGTCCTCGCGCTCCCCGTCTTGTGGTGCGTCCTCCGTCTCAAACAGTACTGCCCAGTCGTCTGACGGGTCTTGCGCCTCCTCTGGCTCCGGTTCATCGTGCTCTTGTTCCGCACGCTCATCCTTTCCGTCATCACCCGTCTTGCCATCTTTCTCATCAACATCTGTCTGATCTCCGTCTAGTGAATACCGTCTCTTCCTCTTTAGCGGTAAGGTCGATGCTCCACGCGCACCTTGTAAGCTCGTGGCAGCCTCGTCAACCGTAGTGTCGCGGGTCGCTATGCTAGTGCGGTCGTTGTCACGTCTTACCATGACTGACGAGCGTCGGCTGCGAGCCATCGAGAGTCCCGCCTCTGCGACATCCACGTCGGACAGTAGCGTTTGGTGATCAGCACTGTCGTGGGTGTCGGGTTCGGTGGCTCGAGATTCGCGTCGTCGTCTTTTCCGTTGCCTTCCATCGCGATGCTGATTTCCCCGCTGGGTGTTCATCGCGCCATCCTGACCCTCCTCGCCGGTAGTGCCGTCGGGGTTTGAAGGTGCAATAGGTAATTGTTTTCGACTGTTGGTAACAGAGTCATCATCTTCTTCTTCTTCACGTAGATCACGGAAGTGATCAAGAGCGACTTTGACGTCTGATTCTGCAAACGCTTTGCCTCCTCTTGCCTTCCACGCCTCTTCTATCTGCGCCCATGCTGCATCCTTTCGACCTTTTGTGATGCGAGCTAACTGGTAAAGTACCTTCAACAGATCCTTTTGGTCGCTGGAGCTGTGTAGCGCCCGATTGGTCGGCTTTCCAAATTTGTCTAGCTGCCGCATGTTCCGGGGAACAAGGGCTTTGATATCAGTGACGTTCCAGTAGTATTGGATCCACAGATCTAACTTCAACTTCAAAGTCTCCGGCTCATCTTCATCTTCTGGAAGTATTCGTTCTGGACGCTCTTTGGGATGTGTAACATCGTTCTGGACTGAGGCGGCTTCCTCCTCTACCTTCACAGCCGCCGGTTCTAATCCAATGCTGTCCCGGACAAACTCCAGATCAGATGACTGTAACTGCGGCTCAGCAGTAGCTGACTCGTCTGCGCCTGTTGTCCTTATTAAATAGCCGGTGTTGAGGAAATTCACAAATCGGTCCCGTCCCTCCTCACCCGGCATCCTACGGGCTAGATAGGTTATGGCTCGTAAGATGGGTAGAGGCCAGGTGCCAATGAGTCCAGAGTATCGCATGTCCGCTGGGATGACGTCTGTGGGGTTTGCGACTTTCCATTGAGATTTGATGGTTCTGACCATGCTAAAGCGCTCGTCATGAAAGGCGGAATTAAAGACTAGTGGCATGGTGTTATCGGTATTACGTAGTCTCTGCGGTACTCAACAGAGAATCTGGAGAGTGCAAATATATATGGCCGAGCTTTTCCGGTGCGTCGTTTGCTCTGCCGGTCGTGAACACGCTGGAAGAAAGTAGTCGTTCATAGATCTCACAGATGTTTCTAGCCTCGTCAGGCAATTGCTGCTACCCTTGCAGACTAAAGTCCCAAAGCAACGCACTATCAACATTCAAAGGAGTCTCCATGTTCAACACATCACCCTCATCGATCTTAGTACCCGGCTGACAACTCCCCATCAAATCCGCATCCGACCACGATGGAAAAGCACCAATCGAGTCAAACGGCTGCTGATACACAGGCACACCCCCATCCGTCCCAGGACTCGAATTCGTACCAAACTGAGACGACACAGTCGCAGAATCGCTACCCATTTCCTCCGCCATCGACCGTGCACTCGTATCGCGTATCGCTTCATCCAGCATATCCGACAGGTAACGCGCAGCCAGAAACGCCATGTCTGATTTGCGACCCAGATACCAGAGACCCTCGATGCAATCGCGACATCTCCGTATCGCTTGATCGCGCTCCTCTTCGATCGTTTCAGATGCCACGACCTGCACCAAGACGTAGCCTGCTCTGCATAACGAGCGCACAAAAGCCACAGTCCACGGCTCTGTCAACAGGGCGGCCTGGCTGAGCGCAAAGTGGAACTCATCTGTGCCTTCTTTCTCTTTTACACTGTGTATGCTGGCAAGACTCAGGTCGGCCACTGCCAGTGCATTTTGGCGGCGCAGGGTATCCACGAGGTTTGATGACTGACGGAGGGTGCGCTCGTTCGGGGAAGACAGTTTCGTCTTGTCGATTGTGAGGAGTAAGTCGGAAAGTAGGAAGGTTGCCAGATGCCAGTGGCCTGCTATGAGGGTGTACCAGGATTGTACGCGTGTGGGGAGGGTGGCGTGGTGCTTTACGCAGTCGGAGAAGAAGGGCGCGTACGTGCGATGCCAGTGGTTGTAGACGTGGAATGCGCCGTTTATACCTGACTGCGCATGAGATTGTCAGCTAGAGGCCACGAAGAAAGAATTAGTATATCTCTGTACTCACCTCAATCCTAGCTGGCGAAACCTTCCGCGATACCAACGCTTGGAGATGTGCGACTCGCCTATATAGTAGTACCTTTACTGGTGCGGCGGAGCTGAGTGTTGCGGCGGCGACCTTGTAGCTACATGGCCATCGCGCTGCTCCAGGGTCCACTTCCAATGTGCCATCGCGTGTGAAGAGATCACCCCACACCGCATTGGCTTCTGTGACCTGAGTCGGTGGAGGCTCAGTGGAAAGGTTGGAAAGATTTCCTGGCATTGCGAATTGGTCCGTGTAAGTGGTAGGAGGGTTAGGCCATGTGAACGGCTCGGTATACGCGTCGTTGGTTGGAGGTGGTAGTTCGCTATCTTCATCGTCGACCACTACTGGTCGTTGGGAAATCGCCGCGGATAGGGTATCAAACATAACGCCAAACCAGTATAACAGATTGAAAGTATCTCGGTCTTCTTGCTGAAGAGGGTCTCGTCCTAGGTCTTGTTCCACGCGTTCCAGTCTCCGTCGTTGGGCGAGTAGCTGTCGCAAAGCTATCTCCAGGAATATAGGGGCGTCATCGTCCTGCACCAAGGCTTGAAAGTGTTCGTAATGCGTTCTCAACCTGGGATCCGTACGTGCATGCAGCTGGGTGGTGTCTAAGGGCCGTTGAGTCAGCGAGAAGATGATCAAGGCAAAGATGACACGGAAAGAACCAATGTCAGCAGCCTGATGCAGCAGCTTAGCTGTTTGATGCCAGAGCGTCTCTTGCATGGACCGCTCAAACTCATTCGACTGAGGAAATCTGTCTGCCGTAAACTGGTTGTCAGTCGCACGACCTCCTGCCCCTCTTTCGCCTGCTTGAGCCCACTGTGACGCGAAAGACATAATGACCATGTTGAGTGCTTTGGATATTGTACGTTCCTCCCCGTCTGTTGGTTTCCGTATGCGAAGGGATGCATAGGCTCGATCAAGTTGAAGTACACGG